CCTGCGAAAATGTGCTTTTTCCGTCGCAACGTGTAACTGTCTGCTACCTTCGTTCTTTTTACATCAGATAATCACTGCTAAGTAATACTCTATTTCAGTCTCTTGCGTTATTCCTTTCCTGGACAATACTAGATAGATCGTCGAGAGCCTTCCAGCCTGCTTGAAGGTATTAAGGAATACACTTTGAAATGTGTCCTGATCCCCTTTACTCCGTAGGTTCTTCTATCAAGTTGTAAACATTGTTGCCCTAGTTATATGTACAAGATTGCAGGTAGCAGTAGTTTATATCATCCGCTCCAATACGCAGACGGATTATACACCCGTAAGAAAGACAGACAGGACACCCGTTTCCCCGGGGTACGGAGCGTATCAGTTGAGATGATTCATACGTAGTCCACCTCAATCCTTGGAAGGCCGGTTGGCGTTGATATCATTTAGAATCTCCCCTGCACCAGCCTTGACCAGTCTTGCCGCAAGTTCCTCTCCGAGCGCGTTTGCTTCGTCGACCGTCTCGACGCTCGAAGTGATGCTGTCCTCCACGCTCCCGGAGCCATCCAAACTAACAACGATTGCGCTCATCCTCAAGTCCCCTGAAGACGTCCACTCCGTCTCAACCCCAATAGGAACACTGCAACCACCCTCAAGGGTCCTCATAAGAGACCTCTCAGCAAGGCATGCAAGAGTGGATTTCAGGTCAGCCAGTCGATCCAGCAATTCCTGCATTTTGCGGTCTCCCTTGCGGATCTCCAAGCCCAGCGCGCCCTGGCCAACCGCATGCAGGATGCCCCCGTCCTTGGAGCCCAGGTACTGGTTGATGCGGTGCTTGAGGCCTACCCGCTCAAGGCCCGCAGCAGACATGATCATGCACGTGTACTCGCTGTCCGGGTCGTCTACCTTGGCGAGACGCGTCTCGACGTTGCCGCGGAGATTGGCGAAGCGGAGAGACGGGTACAGACGGCGGAGCTGGGCTGAGCGCCGCACGGAGGAGGTTCCGACTACCGCGCCCTCGGGGAGGGTTTTCAGGCTCGTGTAGGGCAGCCCGGCCTTCACGATCAGTGCGTCCCGGGGGTCATCGCGGGGCGGGATAGCCGCCAGCTCACAAGTGTCGGGGAGCTTGGTTGGCATATCTGGAACAGTCAACAGTTGGTTGATGACCCAGGAGGGAAGTGAGATATTACCTTTCAGACAATGCACAATAACATCTAATTCACCGGACGTGAGCTTCTCTTCCAGCTCGGTCGTCCAAAGGCTCTTGGCGCCAAAGTTATACAGCGCCGTTAGCTGGTCTCGATCGCCCAGCGTGCGGAGGGCTTCAATCTCGTAGGACCGATCTGGGGCAATCTTTTGCAGGCTGTCGCGGATGCCTTCCGCCTGGACCATGGCCAGATTGGATCGTCGCGTACCGATCCGTAGCGGTGGCTGGGGCGTTGAGGTTTCCACCATGTTATCGGAGGATGAGGACGGTGAGAGGGAGAAAGGAGGGGTTCTACCAAGACCACAGAAATGGGATGTATTTATGATCCAACGATATATCCACAGAACGAAAGGCAAATTACACCCGACGCTAAACTACTGAAACGCTTAGTATGCAAGCGATGATTTAGCGCTCGATCCGGCGGCGTATCCGACATTAGCGTAGGATATTTCCACTAATTTATCGTACGATAATTACCATCTCGAGTTTACCTAGAACGATGAGGGTTATTTTCCATTGATGATGCCTATTCGTCTCTGAAGGACTGGTCTTCATGAATTGGGGTGGACTGGCTATTCGTGGCATGTACACACGCAGACTGCAGCACTGATGCTCATTACAATCTGAAGACGAGGTTGCAAGGCATTGAGCGTCCATTCTTTCCATGCGTCAAGTCTCGAGGTGGAAGTGTACATCTACATCCACAGAAGGACTGAATATCTTATTGCAGGCATATAAGGCATATTGACACTTGAGGTCATCGAAGCTACACCACAATGGGAAGCGGGTGAACTGACTGCATGGAATTAGGTCGTCAATCCTGCAAGCGAGAGAACAGTTCATACACTACATAGCTCCTACCAAATCTCCCATCGGGTCAAAGACATCACATGCTATAAGCCCAGTAGCATCGCCAATTCTGCGCTATTCCAGTCTAAACTCCAGCAACAACATCAAGGTCGATTCCCAAGTCTATATAGCAGGCCACTTCCGAAACAAATCCGACAACCGATCTATCGGCGCCGTAAGCAACCCGACAGCAGTTTCAAATGGCGGCGTCGACGGCGCCCCGGGATGCGCATGCGAAGGCACAAAGAGCTTCGTCCTGTTCAGCGACTGCGACAGCCCGAGGCTCTCCTGCTCCGAGAGCGCGTCCTCCAGCAACTGGATATCCTCCGTTTCTTCATGACGTATGTGCTCCTGGAGGTCATTCCAGAGGGACTGCAGCGTGGGGATGAAGCGCGGGTCCGTGGATTTCATGTCCTGGAAGGTCTTGAGTTTTTCTTTTACCTGTGGCTAGGCTGTCAGCTGAACGCACTCACTCACACTACATATGTAAGGATAAGGAAAGGGGTTCAGATCCAACAGTCTGATGCTCGGCTCTATCCTTCCTCGCCAACTCTCTTCCGTCGTCGAGGTATTTCTCTAGCGCAGGGTACACGACTAGCTCCTCGCCGACGGTGTGCCGCGCCAGTTCCCAGGTGAACTGGTTCTGGTACTTGGTTTGTTCCTCCGGGTCGGTCGAGCTGACGATCAGCTCGTAGAAGGACTTGATCTCGCTGTGGTCGTGCTTGATTGTGTCGAGGATGCGGAATCGGCGCGCCTGCGACCAATCTGTGAAGGCTTGGACTTGGTGGCTTATGTTGCCGCGGAGAACATGAGGCTCGGAGACGTTGCTGTCTGCTGTGGACTTTCGTCCGTGTGTGGCGGCCATATTTTTTGCATTAGATCAATGAAGGGGAGCGAGAGGGGGAATACGAGTGTGGTGTTGATCGGAGGATTACTCTGCTGTGTAGGCAAGACAATATCGTAGAAACCGTGGTTGAATTGTCTGTTGGAACCGTCATCAATTCATCACAGGGACAACACGGCACATTTGATTAATCATTCATTATATTAAATATACACAGTAAACAAGACACCTGCACAGCTATGCAACATCATCATTATACACTGGCTTCCCACTCAGTGATACGATACCGTTATGATCTGTTCATAAGCAGTTTGAGCTCGCTACGCTCGCTCAACCAATCACCAAAGCCCTCACCTCAATACTCTCCCTCGGCTTCGCGCCCTCCCTCGTCCTCGGATCCCAAAACGCAGAATGCGGCACCCGCTCGGCAATCCCACCTTCCTGTCCCGCTTCCGCTGCCGCTGCCGCAAGACTATCCGAGCACTTCAACAACAGCCTCTCCTCATTCTCCATCCCGGAGAGATACATCCACCGCTGGTTCGGATTATACTTGACGGCCATGGTCTCGCCTGTGCGATGCGGGTATCGGTGCTCCACGGCGACCAGATCATTCTCATTGTCAACGGACGAGGCCGCCGCAAACGCCAGCGGCGAGGATTCCACGCGGCCGTTCAACGGCCGCCAAACATTGACGATGCGGTAGCGCACGCCCTGGCTGATGATGCGCTCTGCCTCATCTGGATCAGTGACGTGCAGGCGGACGCGGTCCTGCGCCGCTTTGCGGGTTTGGTCGACGTGTGCTTTGTTGACGGGTTGGCGGGGGGCGTTGGGGTCTTGTCTGCGAATGGTGTGGTCGAAGAGGATGATGCGCTGGGCGCCGGGAACGTGCTGCAGGAGCAGCTGCTCGACTTCTGGGTAGTAGACGCGTTGGACTTCGGCGTCGGAGTCGAAAGTGGAGTAGGTGGTTGATGTGGGGATGTGTTGGAGGACTTGGAAGGCGTGTGTGTCGAGGGTGTAGTCTGCTTCGTGGCCCCGAATGTCGGTTAGCGATACTTTGTGTACTTTCTCGCCGTAGTTGCTGCGTGGGACGCCGGCGGGTGGAGATTCCACGTAGTTGTAGGGTGTAGATCCGTCGGCTGGGGGCTCGTAGAAGGTTAATTCAACGTCGACGGGGCCTCGGGGGACGGGGTCGACGCCGGTAGTGGTAGTAGTACTTGTGGTAGTGGTCGACATTCTGAAGTTTTGAAGAACAAATATCACGTTTGTTGCAAGTCGGCTGCTATAACAATAGTCTGAGATGATGCTGTTCTTCAGCAACTCATCATACCCTTATATACTCCGTGCAGACTGGTATATCATCCTCTCCATTTGTAATCATCCACGATGACTCCAAAAGTGTCCGTCGTGTCGCGCCTTTGCAAGTATATTCCTCCGATTTCCAATCATCCCCAGACATGACGTGCTTAGAAACAGCCAATCACAACAGCCAAAAGCATCGGCTTTGCCAGGTCTGACTTTATATAGTCCAATCAGAAGTAAGACAAATGCCAAGAAATGATGTCAAGAACGGATTGGTAATCCGCATCCCTTTCTAAAACATGATTGGCTGATTGGCTGCGTTTGTCAGCTTGACGAGTTGATCCTTCAGACACCTAATCATCAATGATAGGGTATTTACCTTATGGAGGTCAGTACTAATACGATGGACCTGATCCTTTCGCGACAGGCACATTGGAGAAGCGAAGGTGCGAAGTGGATGAATGACTTGATTATACCCGTGAGAGGACTGTCAAATTAGAACAAATGTACAAGTCTGCAAGTTCGGCAAATAGAAGCATCCAGTCTGAGCGCAAGTGTAGAATCTATATTCGACACGCCAATCGCACGAAAGTGGACATCGAAAACATAGCTCAATCATGAAGTGCCAATGCTACCATGGTCACCTCACATAGGCGCGTGCTCGACATCAAGATGAGGTCGTTGAACCACCAATAACACCAACAAGCAAGCAAGAACGCCGACATGGTATTTCCATGTCCCATAGACCCTGTGCCCCAATCCAAAACCATAGACAACGCCAGAGAGAAGTAGATGAGCCAGAAAGCATTACTGCTAGCTCGCTCTGGCCTTCTTGGTGCGCTCGTAGCTCTGGAGCTCCACATCTCTGCCATTAGTCTTCAGCGGGTAGAGATGCACCCCCATATCGGTGGGAAAGTCGGGGTGCAACAGACTAAACCGGTGCGGATTCTGAGGTACCCCATCCACCTCGGCCGGAACCCGCTCCACAAGCAGTTCGATCAGGTTACGGTCAACCCAACCGGTGGGCCTGTTGTGCAAGCGGTCTAATCGAGCACAATCGTCTTCCACCTCTTCGTTCATCAGAGACGGCAGCGGTGGAGCATTACTGTTTGGTCTAGCGTGGTAATTGGCGAGAACATTATATGGCAGGTTAGGGCGGACTGCGGGCTTGTCTGACAGCTCGGCTAGCGCGTTGAGCGCATGGTTGCCGTGCGTCCGCGTGGAGCGTGTCGCATGGTAATTCTGGCTGGCGGTGCGCATCATGTCGGCGGCCGGTGTGCCATTATCTTCCTGCCCGGTACCGTCACCCGTGCCTGACTCTTCGACATCAGTGTTATTACCGTTCGTCGTAGTGCCCGAAGGCTGATCAGCCCGTTTGGAGGTCGAGAAGAAGTGCACCGTGGCGACGTGAGCTTGATTGGCATGTGCACTGAGTTCCTTTTCCGTGAACAGAGTATGGATAGAATATGTCGGCGCGTGCTGCTTCTCAGCTACCTGGGACTTGGCCCGCTCGGCCGGGTTCGGATCGCGCACTGGCGAGCCAGTATCCTCCTCAGGCGCTTTCCTCTTCCTTTTATTGAACTCTGACACGATTCCATTGCCCAGTTCGTCAAGGTCGACCCGGTGGCGGGTATGCCGGGTTTTGCGATTGCCGTGAACACCACCAGGACTGGCAGGATTGGTAATGCTGAATTGATTGGGATGAAGGAGGAGAGCATTGGTATCAGCGATATCGAGCTGCTCCTTTTCCCGCATCAACCGGGCCTTCTTGCCTGAAATTGTCTGTACCAGCCGTTCTCGCAGGGTCGAGGAGAGATTGTTGTATTCTTCACCGGCGAAGTGCACCCGGAAGGCGTATTCCCGCTGAAACCTTTCTAGATTGTTATTATGACGGTGCTGCACACGTTAGCTTCCAGGCATTCTAGACAGTAACAAAAGCAAGCAGAAGAAAGTGTAAAAAATCTCACCACAAGCGCCGCCAACTCCGCATCCCTCTCCTCCTTAGCCTGATTCACCTCCTGCACAAACCTCGAATACCACATGCCAGACAAACTAGCCATCTCCTTCGCAAAAGCTCCCCCACCGATCGTCTTCTCTACCAAAGCAGCGATTTCCTCCGCCGAGTCGGGCAGCGGACCCGGCGAGTACGGATCCGCATTGTTGATCAATGTCATATCGCACTGCAATGTATGCAGCTGCTGGCGGAATTGCGCGTCTCGATTCTGGCTGAAGGTCGCCGTGAGATCATGCAGCCGCTCTTGTAGCGCTCCGCGGCGCTTGTCCCGTTTCGAGAGGGGGGCGTTCGTCGCGGGGCTTGGGGATCGGCCCCTGGGATGAAGACTGCTGCTCAGTGTTTGTCCAGCTGCGCCGGTAGCTGGCGATACCGGTGCCGGAGAGTAAGCCATGGCTTAGATGTGTTTTATAGAAAACCAGGGCAGTGTGAAGATATTGACGGGGTGAGAGGCGGGTGCTGAAAGGTTGAGTTGCAGGTGGATCAAATCCAGATGTCTGATAACAACATAAAGGGGCCTGTTTGAATTACTAGAGACTGAAAGAAAGCCTGCATGAACGACGAGCAGAAACCAGCTTTCGTGGCAGAGCGATGCTGCGTTCGGGGAGGAGAACCAGCAGCTGGTAATGGAGAAGAAAGCGGGAATCCGGCGGCGCTCCCGAACTGGAATAGCCCCTGTGACATTTTCACCGCCCAGTTGCCTCGTTCAACTCATTCATCATACAAGTCTCTCGCAACAATAGGGATGATATCTCCTCTATATTCCATACCAATACAGATTGCCCTGATCATACAAGAGGCTTGAGACAATGATGCGAATCTTGTCTTAATTGATCAGACCATGTTCGACAAAACCCTTAATCTCAAGCAGTGCTACGAACGACTTACAGATACATGCTTTATGATTATTGACCAATCCTAAAGTCTATTGGTATATTGTGTATAATTGCTCAGCAATCGTACATGATGAAGCTAGTCATACATTGTAAGCCATCTTCTAGTGTTCTGGACATGGAGCAAAGTTGCATGGCCGGAGCCATGCAACCCATGCCCAAGAGTCATCTCTTTGATTTCAAAAACGACAAAGTATAGCACCCGGGTATTGTTGTTATCCATCCAGCCAAAGCAATGCACGATATATGTTCCCAGACATTTCTTCATGCAAAATCCCATACCGTAGCCCAAACACCGTAGACGCCGCCATGATCACCTAGGCTCAATTTTCTAACTCAGTGGTGAAGCAAATAAACGAAAGCAGAAGCAATGAATCGTTGTCCGGAGACCTGTGAGCCACATGTCGCATCTAGTGTGAGCGACGGATGACGAACACCCCGAGCTCAATCCCATCTCGAGGCTCACTCTCGTAGGGCCGTCTGCGGATGCCGTCAATAATCTCGCCCAGTAACATGGCCGAGGTTACTTCCTTGTCCGCAGCCAGGATATAGGGGTTTGCGATATTAGACGTCGTCTTATGTGTCGGCAAGCGACGACCATTCTGCCAGTAAAGGCTGAGCACTTCTTTCATGCGAGCCTTCTCTTGGTGGATGTACCACTCAGTCCAGAGGTTTCGATCGAGGTAGGCACTGCCCTTTCGAGCATCAACAATGCTGAATTGAGAGGAAGAAGAGCTCAAAGCACGACATAACGAGGAAAGATTATTCTTGAGGGTGTCAAAGTCCTCCATATGAGAGACGGAAGACAACTTGCCCAGGTATCGACCAATATCGGCGGAGAGCTCGTTGACCACGACGAGCTGACGAAGCAGAGGGTCGAGGATCGGTCCGAGGTACTGAGATTTGAAGGCCGAGCCACCCCTTCTGGTGGGGTAAATGAACAGCAGCGATCCACCATCCGGCGAAAGTTCCGAGAGGCGATCTACCAGGAAAGAAGGCCGCGATGGGGAGAAGAGATCATTGTATTCCTGGGCCGACGAAGGTGGGATGTAGCGCTCCAGGACCGAGATGTGTACCGACTGAGGCGGAACAATTGGCATTGGAAAGTGTTGTGGGGCCTTCATCTGAATGGGGCCTCGAAAGTCGTGGTACGCGGAGACCACGGCTGCGCTAGAAAAAACGGTGGAGTTGAAGTAGTCATTGTTGGGGAGCATACAGCGCGGCGACCCCGGGGGTGAAGTAGGAAGGTCTGTGAGACTGAACTGCTCAGGGACCGCATGCGTGACATTGATATAAGGCGACTGTCCTTGACGGAGGCGGTTCTGGATTACTTGGACGAGGGAGGAGAAGACTCCCTCGTGAGTGCGATGCGGCGTAGGTTTTTCTGCTGAGTATGGGTAGGGAAGCGTTTGAGAGACGAGCTTGACGGGTTCTCCGCGGGCATTCGAACCCGGCAGCGATGATACTAAGGATCAATCGTTTAGTTTGGAAAAAAAAAATCTGGGGGAATCATTTAAGTAAAAGAAACATACCGGTCGATTCGATGGCATTCTCCAACCATGAATCATGATCGCAATCCATATCTCCTCCTGGGGAGTTGTGGCTTTCATCTGAACTAGAAGGCGAGGCATTCGACAGCCTGTCCGACGGGCTTCCCAGACCGACCGGAGGGGCTCCTCCGGGTGCGTTATTTATATTCGGACTTTCATCCATGGGCATCGGCCCCGGATCCCGATTCAGGTGGGAATCAAACAACAACATATTAGAGCGAGTGTTCCACAATACGTGCTCGTCGTCCTCGGGAGGCGTTGGTGGAAGGGCTGCGGGGTAGTCGCTTTGAGGAAAGTCCTTGGACGAGGCGCTCCACGCAGCCGGAGTAGACAAGGATGCTGGAGTTGCTTGTGAGCTCGAGGCAGAGGTTGTAGTGAGGCGAAGGCGGGGTTCAACGGAATGTGTACGGGACTCGATTCGGCTGGAGGGTTTCAAAGAGAGTCCCAGTTTCTCAAATGGAGGAAGGCTCAGCGATACGTTGCCTCTATTCAAGAACCGGGACACGGTCGAGGGTTTGGTGACGAGGGATCCTTGGGAAGCTCGCCGCTTCAGTCGGCTGGAGCTTCCGCCCGGGCGAGAAGTTGAGGATTGTTGGACGGGAGAGAGAGGACTAGTTGCGTGGTTGTCGAACGAGTTCAAGAGCATCTGACGCGAAGAACAGCCTTCCCACGAAGCATTTGAAGGTGAGGTTGAAGAGGATGGCGAACGCATGACCGAGTTCTCTTGTACCCCAGAGGTAGACCAGTCCAGTCCATGGCACTGCGTCTGATTCATTCAGGCGATCGACCTGGGTCTCCGATTGACAGGGAAGATAGCCGACGTCTCGTCGTCAGTGACTGCACGAGTCCACTCTGGCAGTTTGACGGGACGATTAATTTTTGAGTCGATCGATGTATCTGTCTGACAAGAAGCAATTATACGAGGCGGCAGGCTGGTGGATGCGTTGGCAGGAGGACTTGAATGAAGGATCGAGAGGCGGCTATGCGGCGGGAGAAAAGGTTGAAAGGAAGTGTAGCGGTCGTACAGAAATGACAGGGATGGGAAGAGTTCGAGAAGGATGTTGAAGATCCGATGAGGACGAAGCTAAGCACCCAGAGAGTACCTTTAGGAAACGGCACAGTAGAGAATGGGTGAGATAAGCAGGGAGCGGAAATTGTGGTCGTTGAAAGGTGCCAGACGGTGGTATAGGAGTAAAGTTGAGTTGGGTATGCAAGATTAGGATGAATAGAAGGAGGGAGAAGAAATGGAAGAGAATAGAGAATGCTAGTTTACTGTTATCCAGTCGGTAGTCTGGATAGGTATGGGTAAGTAGGGAGCCCTGGTAAGGTAGGGCAGGTAAAGGTAGGTAGGTACCTTAGTTTAATGACGCTGGGACATGGAATTGAAAATGAGCGGGCGCAAGTCCAAAAGGGCCAGACACATTCGGTCGTTCAGCCAGCGGGAGAGCCAAAAAAGGGCCCCTCGGGCTGCGACTTTCTACCAGCGTTCTAGACCGGGCAGCCTTGGCCTGATTGGGGAGTCCATGACACGAGGATGCCCGCTCGGCCCAGTCACAATCCAGTCTGGCCTGGTCAGTACTCTGCGGTAAAAAATAATAATCTTCGGGAAAAGAAAAAGTGCTCAAGTAATAATAATTATTCTGCCTGCATAGGATCCAAGTCAATGTGCATAACCCACATACCTGGGCTTTTTGATATGGATTACAACACCTATGAATCATTACATTTCTATTGTACGACATGCCTGCTTAATTCAACTTGATTCATTTAATCAAGACCTAGCCAGATGGCCATATTCAATTGATAAAAATTCAGCGAGCTATCCTAGATCGACAACAAAAAAAAAGCAAGTCTCCCCAGCTTTGGCCATAGCCCAGACGCCGCCCGACCTGTCTAGGCCTCCATAGTTGCCGATCGGGAGTACGGACCCATTACGGATTTACAGTGCTCCGTAGGCTAGATATGTATGTAGTGAAGGATTTATGGGTATCTATCAGATGAATTACATTTACTCGGACCAATTTGCCTCCAAGAGATTAGTCTAGTCGAACCCCACTCTCTTAGCAGGGATGGGATCCAGCAGCCTTGAGAAATGTTGGCAGAGTTGGAAACCATCAACTATCAAATAATTATCTATCCACTCGGTCGCATGAAAATCCTTATTATTCTGTTCGTCGTTGTCAGCTTGAATCTGGATCGACTGTCAGCACCCTCTATCAACCTAAATAGTCTCCCAATGTGAATACATACGCATCTCGACTCGCAATACTCAACTCTCGCTACCTCGTCTCGAATAAGCAAACAAACAGTAGTACTGTACTACGAGGCCCAGGGGTCAGGTTTGAAATAACCACAATATTCTACGGAAAAGGATCCCAGATTTAATCATTGGAAGAGTTCTTCTCTGAGGGACAAAGGACTTTCCGACCATAGAACGGCACAGTCTTGATGTTATGGGATCTTGATCCAAGTACAGTGATCTTCAGTACGTGGCCCATACAGTAGACGTCATGGAATTTGAACTCTAGATCACCAACATGACTCGTGAGGTGTGCTGCGGGCCTGTCGACTACCAGACCTCTTCTAATCAATTTCTTAACCAGACCGCAGCATCCATAGTCAATGATTGGTGAAGAGTTGAATTTGTATTTTCTATTGCGATACAGGATTTGCCTCGCACAAGTCAGCAGTCAAGTACCGTACCTTACAGAGCCTAATCACTGGACACGATTGACATTTCCCACTTTCCGCACAATCTGGCATATATTTATGAATAGGTAGCAGAGGGAAATTATCACCCCTCTTCATGCTGGTTATTGGCCTTGACGCCTTAAGAACCATGGTTGTAATAGCCGGCTGATCGATGGTTACCAGTTGCCAGTGCAGCGATGCGATCCAGTTCCAGTGCCGTTTCCGGGCGGGTGACGCCTAGACCCTTTTCCGTGCTGCCG